TACCGAAAGTACCACGCCTGTCACACGAAACAGGGTTTGTCAAAGGATTGTGAGCCTGCTCTGAAGCAACCCGTCGCCTTCCTGCAACATCCGCATAAGTTTAGGGGCAGAGAACAGGCAGTGGCAGGGTGCACCTCAACTTCTCCACCAGATCGCGCTTCTCAAAGCAGTCCTCTTTTGGGCACAATGGGCAGATGTTGGACAACAAAAACACCCAAACTAAAGCGGCTTCCAACTCCCAAAGCCTCCAGGTCCACCCCACGCTGTCTGGCCAAATCCTGGAGCTCCCTGATGGACTGAGCCTTCCGAAAAAAAGGTTAGGGCTCTGAAGGGCTGCGGGCGAGTTATCGTGACCCTCCGAGTGGTTTGGCCGCAGAACACCCTCCCTCTTTATCGTCGGTACCCGGGCGCTGCTGCTCTTTCGACAGCGCTTGCCTCGAAGTCTTGTGCCGAGAGCCGCCTGGCCTGACAGCAGAGAGCCGCAACTGCACGAAAATGGTGTGACCTCCTCCTGTAGGGTCACTCTGTCCCACAATGCCCCACACCCGCCAAACAATCTGCGTTCACCGCACCTGAGCGATGAATCCGCCTTGAGGCAGTGTGACTTGCCAAATCACATCATCACAGGTCCTGTCCTGCAATGATAAATCATATCGCGTCATGTCATGCCCTATCAATTCAGATCATGTCATCTCACACGACGTGTTGCTTCAGTAGATTCTCAATCCTACGTCAAACCCTGTTTCCGGTGGCAGGCTTGGTACCTTCGGCATGTTCGCCAGTGCTACTTTCAGTCTATTACTTCCCGCCAAGCAGCCGCAGCAGACCGTAATCCAGCGTGACTAGCGTGTCCAAAGCTCGAGTGTGAAGCGTTTCCACACCCTAAACGCAAAGACGCCTTTGCCTACAAATCCAAGACAAAGCGTGTTTCCTGTGGCAGCCGCTGTACAAACGATATAAACGTCATGAAACGTCCTTTTCGAAGGGCGCTGTTATTTCACCATGAGGTTGTGTATTATTTGTTTGTTTGGATGTGTTTATGTTTATGTTATTTTGGTTTGTCTTGTTTTGGTTTGTGTGCATGTTTATTAAGTTGGTTGGTTGGTTCTGTGTGTTCGGTGTGACGTCTTAAAATCATGCATGTAACGCTTAGCTGTCTAACAAAAATCGCTTGCTGTTTGTCCGTTTGCCCGTCTATCTGCATGTCTGCACGTGCGTCTGTATGTGTGTCGGTGTGAATGTATGTGTTCATGCATACATGAGTCATGCATGGCTGGATGGATGGACCGAAGGATGTATGTATGTATGTATGTATGTATGTATGTATGTATGTATGTATGTATTTATGTATGTATGTATGTATGTATGTATGTATGTATGTATGTATGTGGGTAGTTTTCTAAATTAGGGTCCCTTATTAGATCCCCCAGATAGTACGGCACCCTTATAACAAGGACCCCAAAAGGGATGTAGAGAACTACCCATCCATGTATGTATGTATGAAGCACGCTTGACTCTGCTGGAATGCAGGCGGGCTTCGCTTGCCTGCCGCTGTGGCGCAGGTGCTCCATTGGGAAGACGTCGCTCATAGGGCGGGAAGAGCTCAAGTATTCACCTCGGCTGTCACTCTAGCCCATGGGTATTTGTAAGCCTGGGGCAATGCCACCCGTTCATCTAACTGGTGTCTCGTTTCGTTATTACGGCCCTCGCATGTCATTGTAGCCATGTTGACGTGGTTATGCCCGAACTCATGATTCCGTGCCTGCCCCAGCGGGAGCGTGCGAGTCGAATCGCCGAACCACAGGACTGGGTCTCTTGGTCCTCGCAGCATTTTTGAGCCGCCGACCATGGGCGCAGGACTTCGCGGGAGCCCGAATGGCTATGTGCGTGTTTGGTCCTTGCGATTCTTGTGTTTGTATCCTGCCGCATGCCTACAGTCTATATGCTGTGCATAGGCATATTTGTACACAGGCAATTACAGCTTATAGGCATTCGGAGAATACTGCTGTGCCACATTTGCCACGGATTTAGGTTCCTTCGGGTACCTTGCGGTTCCTGGGTTCATGGGCTGAAATGCTGCGGTCGCATCCCGAGGATGGTCCGCCGACTTCGTAAACGCGTGAGAACCCACTCATCGCCCAAACAATGCAAGAGAAGCGACATGAGCGTGAGAGTAGTCGTTTCGTCAGGCGCGTAGCAGTGGTTTCGGCGAAGATGGGTGGACAGATTGAAGGCCTTGTGCCTGCGCCTAGCCTATCCCCGGATATAAGGGCCAACGGATTGCTCGCTGGTGCAGGGAACTTATTATGCCGAAAACACACTGCACAAGAGATCAGCAAATAGAGTTCTTGCGTACCTGGTTGAAGGAGCTGTCGCAGAGCCCCGCCGTGTTCCCTATCTAACAGCAAATTCATTGGCAAGCCCTCTCCAGAAGTAGCAAGTAGCTTCAACTTTATTGATCCGGCCTGTTCTGTAGAGTTAGAGCAGTAGTAGCATGGGCGACACCACATCAGGTCGGCTTGGCCCAGCAAGGGAAGGCCCGTCAGCCATCCCTTTCCGCTCGACATATTCGAGCCCTGGGCCAAGCTCCGTCTTGTGATCCGACTTGTGTCGAAACTCATGACGGTTATGTCTGCAGCCCGTTGGAGCAGATGTTTCTCAAGGGCCAGGAAGAAGCGTGTGTTTGTTCCCTTGATGTCTGATCTCCCGCTGTTGACAGTTTGTTCATGATCCAACTGCGAGTACTTCTAGAAGGCCAGACCGGCAGAGAGGAGCCGAAACAGGAAACGCGGAGGAGCTGCGCTAGTCTAAAGAAAGTGCCCAGGCGACCGGAAAGACCAGATTGAGTCCCGATGCACCGGCCTTAGATACTCTCTGCACGGCTTTGGGGAGCACTAGGTGGTGCTTACTTGCGTACTTGTACCGCTACTCAGTTTTGCAGGAGGCCGAAGCCACACGGTTATATACATCGATCATCATCTGTCAGTCATGGTCATAAGTCCTATATGTTCCCTGTATATATGTATATATGTATGTACATATATACATACATACATACATACATACATACATACATACATACATACATACATGCACATATACATATACATATACAGCTATAAATATGTGTATATGTATATATATATATATGTGTGTGTGTGTGTTCTATGCCGCTTTGCCACTCCATGCGCCCTGCAAAGCTGCAAACCAAGGCGGCACTTGAGATCGACAGCGTGTGGCGAATAGATCCCAAGGCTCCTTTGCCTTGCTTCAGCGCCTCATGTTAACTCTTCAGCGCGTATAAGACCTATAAGGCTCATATAAGATTCAGAAGCAGGCCAGAAGACTTTCTTTCGTAAAATGATCGTGCCGGAAACAGTTGAAGAGCAGGAGTTTGGAATCTTGCGACGTCGCAGTACGAAGTGCGGCTAGGGGACGTGTGCAGACGCCCTCTGTGTCAAAGCACCCTGTCTTTAGAAATGACGGCTGCGGACTTCGATCGCTCCAAAGTGACGACTCGAGATGTAATAGCATATTCTCTGCTAAGGGCTTGTAATTAAATCGCCGTGCAGCTGTCGTAGTCACAGAAGCGCATGCTGCCGCCGGAGCAAAGTCAGACTGAACCGTTCTGGCATAGCAGGATTTCAAGACCGGCTGGGACTCCGAGCAGGGCAAGTGGATAGACCTGCCAAAGAACATGATAAAGGCGCCGTGCTGAAGCATTGCTTGGCATGATTTGAAAGCCAATGATCGTGAAGTAAATGAATTGGGAGTGTTGATGCGCTTCTTGTCATTCTACAATGCTGCTTGTCCTACGACACTTCTGCGTCGCAGAAATGGTGGCGACAGCCTTCTTACTTGACGCCATTTGGTTACCGGCACCCGCCCATGTGGAGCAAGAAGGCCTGGATCTGCAATCGAATGTGCCACGGGCCTAACGGCCGAAGCTTGCAACCCTGTCAGGACTATGCTTTGGCATGTGCAGCCCTCAGGGAGGACTTGCGGCAAAACCAAACAAAACTGGTCCCCTGCCTTTGGCGCCAAAGCCAGTCCCGAGGCACTGAGATGAAACTCTCCAAGATCGAGGCGAACATGATCAAGGCGGATAGTACATGTGTTTTTGTATTCTAGTATGTTTCAGTTTACAGTGTAGTACATTGCATTCATTACATAGGCATGTAGTATAAAAAATTATTGCATAGATCATTTGATGTACTGAGCCAGCAAAAGTTTCAGAGCGTAACAGGGCAGCCAAGCAGAGACTGCGGACAAACGGCAGCATGTCCCAGATTACCTGCCATTCTGGACTTCTGACTCAGTGAGTAGCAAAAACTGTCAGCAACCCCAAAAACCCTGAGCCACTGAACCACATGAACACTGCGCAAGCAGAGTCGAAATCCAAAATCCTAAAATTCTTGACCCTGAAACTGTAAACCTTAAACTCACGCCCACCTCCTCCTCCTCCTCCTCGCCGTCTGCCAGGATCTCAAGGATCGGGGCATGACCATCGAGGAGATCCGCGGGCGCGCGAGCGAGGGCCTCAAAGAGCCTTCTGGGATGTGGCAGGTCTTCCCTGAAACGGTTGATGATATAAATCCTGCATTACACGTAATAGGAAACATCCCATAATTCCCATAGCTTAGGTTTCTTAAGGTAGTGCAGGATTTCTATCATCAACCGTAGCACCCTTCAGGGAAGCCTTAACAGGAGCAGGCCTTCTTCAGTGCGGCCTTGACCCCAGAGGCCAATTTACTTTACTTATCTATAATACTGACCATATCTGGTCATGGTTAGTTTTTCCAACACTTACGAAAACGGATAGTAGTCAAGATTCAGATTTTTGAAGCATTTGTACACATAGATACAACTGGACACTGTCCGCTGCCATTTTTATTTGTATACTTACTCTATGCTACCATCTGGGTCGTTGGACCTCCAGGCTTACACAACAAATCCATTCTGAACCCAAGCCTTGCATTTTAGGTGTACCCTAGACCCTAAATCCTATACCCTAAACCTTAAATCCTTGCGTTTTAGGTGCTTTCGAGTTCATTGAGCACAGCAAGCTCCCAAAGCTCACGCCGAAGCTTACGTTCCTGTTCCAGGCGCCTCGGCGGTTGGCGTAGTCCAGATTCTGCTCGTTCAACATGTGAAAGTTCTAAAGGTGCTCTTAATGCTTCTTGCGTCTACCTATGACCTATAACGACGACGACGACTACCTCTTCTACTACTACTACTACTACTACTACCACTGTTACTACTGTTACTACTGCTGCTTCTACTACTACTGCTGCTGCTAAAATGATACTACCACGAGGACAAGCAGAGAACTCGTGGCAGGTGAAGGCTCTTTGGGAGGGCAAGGACCCGGCCGAGTCGGAGCTCATCGACCTTGGCGATGCCAGAGACCTAGGGACCTAGGACATTTAGGGTTTGGTGTTGAGGGTTTTTTTGCTACTTCTTAGGAGAGTCGGGAATTCTTATCCTTTTTGGGGTTCTACAAGAGGCTCTATAACGGTTCTATAAGGGTTTACAAGGGTTCTGAGTAGTAGAGTCGGGAACCTCTATCTAACAGCATTAGCCGTTTTAGGGTATGATCATCCTATAATAATCCCAAAGCTCAACCTTTACTTCCTCCAGGACACTGGACAAGTAACCCAGTTCTGATTTAGGGCATGGCAAGTAAGACTTAAAGGTTTCATTAGAAAAGGAGCATGCATGCCAACCATAGTATAGAAGCTCGGTGCCCAGTAGCTTGCAGTCCATACATGGACATAGTCTAGGGTGTGAAGGAGACGGGGCAGTGTTTTCAGGAACAGTAGTCGCAAGGCATTGGTGCAGTGGGCAGATTTCAGGATCAGCCTGAGCAGGCTCCAGATGCATGTGTTTGCCCTGAGGTTTACAAGGCGGACACCGGCAAAGACTTGCAGCTTTGCTGCATCGTAGCAAAATGCCAGCTATCGCTTGGGAACCCTGGACTACAGTGACTACAGCTTCATGAAAACGCTCTAAGCTCTTTTTTCTTGCTTATGCTCTCGAGCTCAGGGATGCAGATGAATGAGTACTTCAGCTGCTTGCCACAAGGTCCATCGCTTGCAGCTTGTTGGGTCAAGCGAGGGAGTGCTGTTGGAACGGTTCACCTAGGGCTTGTGGTTTCGGGTTTAGGGTTCCTTGCTTATTGCAACTAGGGTTTAGGGTTTAAGGTTCCCTGTTTAGAGATATGCACGATAGGTCTGTTTTCTGGCGGCTTGAAAGTTAAGTCCGTGAGAAGGACCCAGTCCTGCTTGCAGCACCCTACATTTTGAGGCATGCCCGCCGTCCGCAGTCTGCAAATGCGGCTTTGATACAGCTGCCAAGTGTTTGTGCATAATATGGAGGCCTGAACAGTTACCACTATTAGCTGGTAGCTGTACATAGTACAGCATAACCCCCATACCCTATTCCAGCCGGCCAGCTGGCAGGCACCGGAGATGTCTCCCTCCATATTTCAGGCTAGCCAAATCTCTGGTGCATTTTAAGAACAAGTGCGCAGGTGCCTTTAGTCGAGGGGCTCTTTTTGCCCAGCCTCTGGTGTTCATATGTACTCATACCTCATATCTATGAGTACTACCATAAGCATGCTGCCGTCAATCCAAGAATCACGGGAGGCTTTGCACGGAGCGATGCCGACGCCAAGACAAAGCTGTAAAACAGAATTCCCTAGGTTTCCATCCAATGATCATGACAGCTTCGACCAAATTACTTGGGATATGACTCGTTCATTGTGACTGGCGCCTTTGTTTGTTTGTTTGTTACATATGGGCTTTGGTGCCACTTCTAGGCTTGTAGCTGATGTTGCATGGGCTGGCTGGCGCTGTCCGAGCTTGAATCGTTCAGGACAGCCAATGGTGCCTTAGGCTCAGATTTTCCATGTTACCAGCCGAAGGCTACCACATACTCCAGTCACTCATTCGCGAAAACATGCGCGCGCACCGTTCGAATGCGCTTTGCACAGCTGCGTTGCGAAAGTCAGTGCCGCTGTCGTGTCAACTGTGCCGTGGCAATGGCCGTGCTTGGTGCGGTGGCATGCTAGTCAAATTTCATTCACTAGCCCAATGTCGGCAGGTATAGCCTCACACATCCAACCGGCAGTCCGTCATGCATGAAAGTCGAAGTGTTGCATGACCAGACTGGAGACCATGTAAGAAGAAAAGACACTGCTTTGAGCCGATGGGGTTGGACAGCAGCGTCCGCACGGCCCCCGGTGCAGATTTGGAGACACACTACGTGTGTTGACCCGTTGACCGTGCACATGGTTTGTTGCGCAGAAGCCACCTGGCTGTGGCCGAGCATCGTCGCTGTGATCGTTGGATTGCTGACAGCTCGGGAGTGGACAGTATGATTGTGCCCGTCAGAGATGAATGAGAAACCATGCAGTCGCTGCACTACTCTTTAGCATCCCACGATAGGATTTCGGCCACACTCGAGGCTTTTGATACAGCTTCTGTGGAAAGGACCCGCGCCTAAAAAGGCCCTTGCGCAGAAGTTGGGGGAGCGAGCGGCCAATGGTCTGGGATCATTTTTCAACTGACGCAGGTTGAGAAGACCATTCCGCGCGAGCGTGCTAGCAGAAGGCAAGAGGAGCCAGGCACGCCCCAAGTTTTGCTACTGTCCCGGACATCTTGAAGCGACAGGTCTAGAGCAAGAGGCTCCGGCGAAGCTCCCAGCAGCGCGCTGCTGAGATTTTCTCGTCAGCGTATCCCCTCAACCCTAAAACCCATACCCCTAAGCCCCTGAACCTAAACCCTCTCTGTTTTAAGCTGTGCTTCCGTTTGCATGGCGAGGCTACGGAACCTAAGCCAGCGAGGCAGGAGCGATCCCATCACTGGGTTGCTGCTTCAGGAACGTAGGCTTAAGTGAGAATAAAGTTTATTGAGGGTACATCATAAATCATACCATAATTTGGTGGAAATATATAAGAAAATAATAGGGTTTTCCTGAAAGAGCGAACTTATAGTCTTAAAGTCCTAAAAACAGCAACCCAGATTTACCTTGTCGAGCTTTGCCCTCCTTGACTCTTCCCTCTGACGAGGCAGGTTCAGAAGCCTTCGCCAGGCCGGGCCTTGTTGCCATACTAGATTTAGGGTTTGGGGTTTAGGATTTAAGGGTTTAGGATTTAGGGTTTAGGGTTTAGGGTATACTCATATAGGGGCCTTAGGAATTAGAATAGGGTTTTGGGGGTTCCATATTATAAATATAGTATACTATACCCCCAAACCCTATTCTAATTATGAAGGCCCCTATACTACCCCAGACTTTCTGCGTCATACTGTACTGCACCGTGCTAATACCAATGTATTAGGGTTTAGGGTTCTGGATGCAAAATGGCTAAAGGGATTCAGGGCTTCGTGCGTTGCAGTCCCTGCTCAAGAAAAAGCATTGAGGGTTTGAGGTACATGAATATGCTCTTCTGTTCTGTAGTATGTCCCATGTCATAGGGCGGTCACGCCTGTGATCGCTGCCATGCCAGGCCCCCCTCTCACCACTCATGACCAGCTCCGCTGGCTGCAGATTGTGGCCGTGCGGAACTGTACCGCGGTGCCGAGGACTTGGTTGCTCAGGCCCTAACCCACCAGGTACCTACTATAAAGGGCCCTAGGGGCTCTAGTACCCTGTATAGTAGGTACCTGGGGGGTTAGGGAGGGTGCTGAACACACTCACCTTAGACACGAAACGCACCTTAGGTTTGAGGGATTCGCAAAAGGATGAACCGCATGTATTGCCTACTTGGGGAGTGTTGGACTCTAGGTACCTGATTGACGGCAGCAGTGGCGGCGGCAGTCCGGCATTTGGACTAATTAAGTGCTGAAGTTGCCTTTGTGCCATGCGGAAGGCCATAAGCTTACCGGCTTGGGCTGCGGCCGGCTGCGGTAGGCGTTATTTCCTGAAGCATGTGCATACAGCAATCTTATACTGATAAGAGTATACCCAGTGGCCTTGTGCCGATGCTTAAGGCCCTGAATATTGGGCACCTAGGAAGCATCAGCCCCCATTTCGTGCCGCCTGAGGCTGAGCCAAGATCCTGCAGGTGATCCTGACCGGCTCAGGCGCCAGATCTGGCAGTACCTTGACGTGCGAAGCCGAGATCACCCCGCCGCGTTGAGTTGAAACTTTTCGCATATATACAAGCATACATATACGTGTCTGTCCGTATATATGTGTCTTTAATATATATATATATATATATGTATATGTATATGTATATGTATATGTATATGTATGTATGTATGTATACACCGATGTGCGTATTTGTGTGTGCTTGTCGTTGCTTAGTCAGTTCGCCACAGTCATGCTACCCACACCTATGTTCACATCCGAGCAGCCAGCCAGCCGACCGACCTGCCTGCCTGCCTGCCTGCCTTCCTTCCTGCCTGCCTGCCCCCCACACACATGCCTGCATGCGTGCATGCGTTCATATACGCACGAGTATCTGTATATGTATGTTAATCCATGGATATGTATATATATATATGTATATGTATGTATATATATATATACATATATATATATATATATATACTTGTGTGTATGTATATGCATCTGTATACATATACGTATGAATGTGTATATATATATATATATATATGTATGCATACATGCATTTACACATCTATATATATATATATACACATACGTGTATGTGCATGTATATAAATATGTACGTGTATGCGTATGTGTATATGTATACATATTTGTTTGTATATATATATATATATATATAAACACACATGTACACATACACATGTACACACACATATACATATATATATATATGTATATGTATACATATGTTTACATATACATAGAGAGAGATCGAGGAAGTTATGTATATATATATATACAGATAGGTTCCCATAGATAGATGAGATCGAGATACAAAGATAGGTAGGTAGGTGGGTAGGTAGGTAGGTAGGTAGGTAGGTAGGTAGGTAATTAGATAGGTAGGCAGGCAGATAGGTAGATAGACAGATAGATAGATAGATAGTTTAGATAGACAAAAATTCAGGTATCCGGGTCTACATACACATACTTAATACATGTGTGGTGGCATGTGCCGTTCATGTACTCGTCCGCTTGTTATTGTGATTATGGCTCCATTAGTTTGACTGGGCATAAATCGCTGCTGCAATATTACTACTACTATTTTTGTTATCAGTATCCGCATTAGTTTGAGGACTGTTACTCCTGCCGTTGTACTACTTAACTGTTAGCATGATAATGCAAGTATTTTTTAGAATGCTTATTACGACTATGTTTGATTTTTAGTGGTGTTGTTGTGGTGGGTATTAGTGTTGCTATGGCATGCCTTCAATTTGTCATTTTACCTTTGGGCTTATGGGTTTATTATGACTTATTGTGACTGTTATGTTTTCACTGCTTCAAACATGACAAGCAAACCAGTCCTCGAGAAGCTCTGGGGGCTTAGGGTTTAGGACGGATTTAGGGTTTATAGGGTTTGTGATGGTGCCAGCTCTTCTCGATGCCGGCTCGCCGCTCAAGAGAAGATTTACGTAACCATGCACGAAGCAGCCAGGCATCGCTTCTCGATAGAACTTTAATCTTCGAACCCATATGCAAAGAGCCTGTTGGCGTCAGTCAGACAGTTTGGCTTCCACAACCCCGGCCCCAGGACTTCTGCATGTTCACGCCAAATAGGAGGTATCCGAGCTGCTTCACTGCGCAGTTGCTTCCACAAAGACTATGGCTATGGTTACATGGCCTCAGTATACATCCACGAACTCCATGAACTGCTGTGTGTCTGAATGGCGGTGCATGTAGTGGCTGCGCTGACCGCCGCGTGGTGATGAAGACCAGATTGCGGTATTCACCGCCAGAATGAACCGCAAGGACTCCACGTGGTTCTGGCTGTGTGCTCACGATGTCGGCGCTGCTAGGGGGAAGGGACCGCTATTCAGCACCTGGCAGACAAGCCGGTATTTTGCACTGCGGCGTGCTGCCGGTATTTTCTATTTTGCCTACTACACATGTGGTTGTTGTTTGGCTGTTCTTCTCACACAGTTGCCATTGTCTTCATGCTGGCTATGAGGTAGTTGGGCGATGACTGCTTTTCTATATAAGAGCTAAATACAGCTATGCAGGAGCTGTTGAAGGAGCTCGATGCGCTGCAAGACAAGTACAAAATCCAGCAGAAGCATCTTGCAAGGGGTTTGCGCACCTGGAAGGGGCCTAGTGTTGACATCTACTTGGCATCTTCGGAAACTGGTGAACACCTGAAAGTTAAGGTATGGCCGTTCTGTCCTGCCGGACTCCAGCGTGCCGATTGGGCCAGCAGCTCTCCGCGCTGCCGAGGAGAGCGATACAGGTTAAGCAGAATTGGGGCGATGAGTCTGAGAAATTGCATGAATTGCACAGGGTATTTTGCGGATGCTTTCGCTCTGCTTCCATCGAAGAGGACGCACTGTCCAAAGGGGTCGCGATGGAGGGCTGGGTGAAACGGGAGGGGGGTGTGAGACGCACACTCAACTCCGGCGACAACGGGAGGCTAGAGCGGCTAGAGTCGGGATCATTCCGATCAGCCAGAGGCTGAATGGGGACTTAACCCTCAGCGACTACTTCTTCAACCTCTCACCCTTAGCAGCTCATCGGAGTGTGCCCTTGGTTGTTGAAGTTACATTTGTCACATCTCGGCTACCCCTTAAAAGGTGATCACAGGTAGTTGAGATTTGGCCGAAGTCCTGACCTGGCATGCTCCAAGAATGCCGGCTTTGGTGTGTGGGGAGGGTGCACCCGGTAGCTAGGGATTTATAAGCTACCTATATGGGTAATTCTTGGGAGTTGTCTCCCTTGTTGATCTTAAGGGACAATATGAGGGACCCCTATAAGGGACCCCTAATCCTAATACCCTATAAAACCCTTATTTACCCCTTATATAGTCTCACAAAGCCCCCATATAACCCCAAGGGTCCCTTTAAGGGTCCCTCCTTTAGTCCCTTGATGATCCCTTGTCTCAGTCAGCCGACCAATGACCACATGCCTCGCTTGGATTGTTCGAGTGCAAGAGCCGACCCTGAACCCTAAACCCTAAACCCTAAACATTACGGCCATTTTGGCTCAAGCCATCTCTGGAAAGTTCGGCATCCGCAAAGGCAATCCGCTCGCCCTCCCTTTGCCACCATGTTCTGCGCGTGCTGCGAAGTTGAAGAGCAGGGCGTCGCCATGGAGGTGAGCCCAGTTCCAGTGATTGAGGAGGAGGTTCCGAAGCGGCCGGCAGCAGCACCTGCAGAAGTTGCTTTGAAAGCGGCGCCCACGTCGGGGATCTTCACTGTGGAGATCCCTTTGCCTGCCTCGAAGCCGGCGCAGCTAGGCTTGGACTTGGATGCGATCGACTCCAAAGGCCCGATCATTGTCAGCATCATGCCCGGGGTTCTCAAAGACTTCAACGATGCCAATCCGGCTCTGTCGCTCGAAGCTTACGACCGCATCGAGGCCGTGAATGGCGAGACCGGAGAGCCCTCGAAGCTTTACAAGGCCATGACGAGTGCTGTGGAGGACCTGACGAGGGGAAAGTTCACGCTGACGATTTGCCGTCCCCGAAAGTTCACTGCCAGCATCACGAAGACCGGGGAGCCCTTGGGCACGCAGTTGAACTTCAAAGTCTCCAGCGCCGGGATTGTGGTAACCCGGGTTTCTCCTGGAGGACTCATCTCCAAGCACAACGAGCAGAACCCGAGCTCGCAGATTCTTCCTGGCGATCGCGTTGGGGCGCTGAATGGCAGCCACCTTAAGGGAGGGGCCATGGTCGACAGCCTCAAGAAGGAGCCGAACTTGAACTTGTCGGTCTTCCGCTACGACGAGTGAGGAGACCCACCGAGACTTGCTGGTGAGGAGGCAAAAGTGGGTCTAAGACCCCACATCCTCGCCAGGCAGAGGCTCGCCCACTCGGGGAGGCGCCTGGTTGTTTTGGGCCGGGC